ACTACATCTACTACTACTACTACTACTACTACTACTACTACTACTACTACTTACTACTACTACTACTAAATAATAATAATAACCTTTTATTTATTATTGCACTTGTACATAAAATAATCTCAAAAGTGCCCTACAAAAAGGGTTTTAAAACAATGAGGTAAAAAGGTGCAATTCGGAAAAAACAGTTGATCAAGCTAAAACCATGCAGGAACTTTATAAGATAAAACCAAGAATAAAATACAAGTTACAAAAGGCTTTAGTAAAAAGGTGTGTTTTAAGATTTTGTTTAAATAACAGAACTAGATTTGTGGGGCTCTCAAGATGGTCGGGGAGAGCATTCCAAAGCCTTGAACAGCAGAGGAGAAGGCCCGATCTCCCATGGTGCAAAAGTTTGGTTCTGGGGGTTTGGAGAGTGTTTTGGTGGCTGCAGAGCCGGAGGGTGCGTGAAGGGGTCTGGGGAGTGAGTGAGTTCCTTAAGGTTACCTGGGGGGAGTGACCGTGGATGCATTGGTGAGTGAGGAGGGAGAACCTTGTACTCAATCCTGAGTGTGATGGGAGCCAGTGAAGGGATTTCGGAATGGGGGTGATGTGGTCCAAATTTACTACTAACTACTACTACTACTACTTACTACCTACTCACATTACATGTACTACTTACTAATGTACTAACTACTAAAATAACATCTACACTACATCTACTACTACTTACTACTACTACTACTACTACTACTACTACTACTACACAGTACATGTATTACTGCTACTGCTGCTACTACTACTACTACTTCTACTACTGCTACTACTACTTCTACTACACCACAATACATGTACTACTACTACTACTACTACACAGTACATGTACTACTGCTACTGCTGCTACTACTACTACTACTTCTACTACTTGCTACTACTGCTACTACTAATATAACTTTCTACTACTGTTACTACTGGTACTACTGCTACTACTACTACACCTCAATACATGTACTACTACTTCTACTACTACTACTGCTACTACTACTACTACTTCTATTGCTACTACTGCTACTACCTGCTTACTATAACTACTATACTGCTACTACTACTGCTACTACTGCTACTACTACTCTACTACTACTACTACTACTACTACTACATGTCTACTACTGCTACTACTTCTACTTCTACTACATGTACTACTACTACATGTAGTACTACTACATGTACTACTACTACTACATGTAGTACTACTACATGTACTACTACTACTACATCTACTACTACATCTACTACTACTACTACTACTACTACTACTACTGCTACTGCTACTACTGCTACTGCTACTACTACTACTGCTACTACTACTACATGTACTACTACTACTACTACATGTGCTAACTTACTATCTACTACTACTACTACTACTACTACTAAATGCTTCTAGCTACTGCTACTACTGCTACTGCTACTACTAACTACTGCCTACTACTACTATACATGTTACTACTACTACTACTTAACTACATGTGCTACCTACTTACAACATGTACTACTATTACTACTAACTGCTACTACTACTGCACCTGCACTAACTACTCACTACTACATGTAGTACTACTACTACTACATGTAGTACTACTACTACTACATGTGCTACTACTACTACATGTGCTACTACTTACTACATGTACTACTACTACTACTACATGTGCTACTACTACTACTACATGTGCTACTACTACTACTACTGCTACTATGGCAACTGCTACTACTACTACTACTGCTACTATGGCAACTGCTACTACTACTACTACTACACCACAATACATGTACTACTACTACTACTACTACACAGTACTACTACTACATGTACTACTACTACATGTACTACTACTACATGTACTGCTACGACTGCTACTGCTGCTACGACTGCTACTGCTGCTACTACTACTACTACTACTCTACATCTACTACTACTACTACTACTACATCTATACTACTACTACATCTACTACTAACTACTACTACTACTACTACTACTGCTACTGCTACTAGTACTACTACTACTACACCACAATACATGTACTACTACTGCTACTACTACTACTACTACGCAATACATGTACTACTGCTACTACTACACAATACATGTACTACTAACTACTACTACTACACAGTACATGTATTACTGCTACTGCTGCTACTACTACTACTACTTCTACTACTGCTACTACTACTGCTACTACTACTTCTACTACACAGTACATGTACTACTGCTACTACTGCTACTACTGCTACTACTACTTCTACTACACCACAATACATGTACTACACTACTACTACACAGTACATGTACTACTGCTACTGCTGCTACCTATACTACTCTTCTACTACTATACTACTACTACTTACTACTATACTACTACTACTATACTATACTACTACTGCTACTACTACTGCTACACTACTGCTACTACTACTATACTACTATACTGCACTAAGTAGTAGTTAGTGCGTGATG